AGCCTATATGTTCACACCTAAATTAATTTGATGTCATTGCTTACATCAATTTAGTTTTGATGTCATTGCTTACATCAATTTAGTTAGGTGAAAATTAAGTATTTTTCTCATGTTTTAATTTCAATGGTTTAGATTATTTAGTGTTTATTTTAATGAGTGGTTTAGATTGTTTCTTGTAACCTATAAATACCCTACTTGTATTTGAGTTTTATCATCCAACAATCAAAGCTTAATTATAAGCATTTGAAAGCTTTCTTAAGAGTTCTTCCCTTTTGCAATTTTGTGAGATTATTCTAAAGAGAGTTTTTTTTTTATCAATTAGAGTTTTTACTCTATTTTGATTCAACACTCTACCATGCCTAATGTTCTTGCAAACCTTGAGCAAGCCCGGGACAGGCAAAGCCGACAGCCGGAGAGTCCTTTGACTCCATCCAGACAAACTCTTGCCCCAACAGTGCACTTTTATGCGGGGGACTGGGAAGAACTCCCCTCTGTATCATCTGTTGTTCGGAATGATGTGTCCGAACTGACTACTGGAATGAGCTTTAGCTTCTCCGAGGAGGATTTCTTGGATGGATGCAGTAGCCAAGATGGTAGCATTATGGCACAAGAAGTTTCCTCGAGGAGATCGAGAAGGCTTTCGAGAAGTCGGGCATGGGAAAGGGCTAGTGAGACAGATCAGGGAGAAGGCGGTTATGATGTTATTTTGATGACTGATATTCCGTACCCGGTGTCATCGTTGAAGAAGTTATATGCAGTTATTAAGAAGGTTCGTTTCTTAATTTCGAATTGCTTGTTTTCGTTTCCTTCGAACCTGCGATATGTATAAGGGTATGTCCTTGTCGGTTTTCCAAACGACATAACTGAAGCGACATTGGCATCTTGAGAAATGCATGATTTGCCGCCGCATCTGTTCACTTCCGCTTGTAGTTTTATTGTCTTTTTAACTCCGTACTGACACAATTTATCATTTTTAATCCCGATTATGAACAACCAGTGCCTAAGGCCTCCGTACGGAGTGGTCTACTTGGCAACGAAGAAGAACTACAGCGCAGCGAGGCACCTGAGAAGTCTAGTCGACGAAGAAGGCATATTCGGAGTACATTTGATCAAAGAGTTGACTGACAGATATTTGGAAGTTCTTTCTGAAGTGATTGAACAAAGTTGCAGAGCTACGCAAAGAACAAAAATGGCTGCTAAAGTGATTGCAATCGTTTTGTTTAGTTCTTTGGCTTTGCTGTTAGCATTATCTGAAATTGTTTCAATTCTTTCAACAGTGATCATCAAATTTGGATATTTAAGAAGAATTAGGGCATGGTAAGTTTTGCTACCTTGTAATTCTTTCAATAGTAATCAATTCTTTCGGCACAATGTTTCGCGGAAAATGAAGAAGAATAGATATAACATAGGTTAAACTAACAGATAAAACAACACAATCCAATGTTACACACAGTGCAAGAAGACACCAAAACTATACGACTTCGTTAGGCGTCGCGAGTATAATGCGCATATAATAATCCGCTAGATACGAGTTTGAAACAATGGTCTTAGTTGCTGCTAACTTTCACGAGAAGTGTGCAGGCGCCAACTAAAAACAAAGGGAGAAATTGCAGAAGTCCGAAAACTTCTACGAATTACCCTGCCTTTGGTTTTCACTTAATCTCCGCCAAACCATCCTCCCGCAGTGCATCAAGGTCAAGATCGCCATTAAGAAGAGACGAGGAATCCCGATAATGCAGCCATCGTATGCAAAATTTATCAGAGTCTGGAGGAAAAGTCGGTAAGAATCATTCGCATGTTGCGAAAGTTAAAGATGCAGCAGGTATGAGAGAAGTAGGCTAGTTTTGACTACACACATGGACGAATTATCAACATCTCAAAAGCAGTAGTAGTTTGAAAGTATCAGCGGTCTGCTTGTATCGTAAACTATCTGCTGCCAAATGATTCGAAAACATGGAATAAACATCAACTAATGAGGCTGCTTCATCAAATCCATTTTTTACTACAGCTTCATGCATTTCAGTAATACTAATCTGACAAGGCATTTACGACAAACCGAACAAACGGAGAACATTCACAGGCTACCAATGCATGGATTATCGATATTATCAACTATTTTATGCCTCAATATTACATGGCTCATATGAATAAGGCAATCCCAACAATAATGTATTGTCATTCAATTCATCGATAATTTTTATTAATACACAAAATTCATACAATATTAATACATCAAATAGAACATTGAATTCCTAACCTTCACGACCATACAACCAAATAGGTTTTTAGCAGCGTTTTCTCAATCATATAGCGGCGTTTTTAAGCTCCATTAAAAACCTTTGTGCCGCAAAAAGCGCCGTCGGCGTTTGTGTAAAGGTTATGTTTTTTTAACGATGTTTTTTTACAAACGTCGCTAAAGGTAATGATATTTAGCGGCATTTTTTAAACAAACGCCACTATTTATCTTTTCTTTTGTGGTTGTTTGTCCCAAAAACGAGCTAAATATTCTGACATATAGTTGCGTTTGTTCCCAAAAACACCGCTAAATGTTATAGAATATAGTGGCGTTTGTGAATGTAAAACGCCTCTATTGACTATGTATATAGTGGCGCTGTATAAACGCCGCAAAAGAACTAGAACTATTGACTATGTATTCAGTGGCATTTTTTTATACAAACGTCGCGAATTAAAACTAATTTTTCAAATGTTGTTTTCTACTCTTTTGTTACCAAAATTTAAAATTTAACCTGTAGCATTATCCAATAAACTTGACATCCATAACAACAAACTTGAAATCCATAACAGTAAACTTGAAATCCATAATAATAAATCAAAGTTTACATTAACGTAAAATATAATGTAGTTTAACATCGTTAACTAGAATAAACAATAATAACACCTAAGATGGTGGACTCTGGGATTGATTTTGTCGTATCATCTGCATCATAGCTAGAAGTTGGTTTTGAAGGTCTTCACATTTTTTCTGATGTGTATCTGATATTGATACACATCAGAAAAAATGAATGGTTACGGAAGAAGTCGTGGCGAGGCAATAATTTATAGTGACTTATAAGATCAACAGCACCGCTAAGCTCTCTTGGTCCTACATTTATTTATATACATCATTTCTTGTAAGTTGAAAAAGAAATATGATAACAAAAATATAAATATCAAAGAATTTTAGATGAAAATACAATTGAATCTGAATTTTTTAATCTAAAAACTTCAAATGGATTGAACAAAGCCAAAAACAAAGGCAATGAAAACAAAGAAAGTGCCATAAAACCCTTATTCTAAACAATATTACCTCCTCCAAATGTCTTGCCTTCAAGATCCATGTGTTAATGATTCATGAAATATGTACCATCATAAACTGCAATTTTTTAGTCAAAAGTCAGGGAAAATATCCATGAATATCGACTCAAAACATCTATAAAGGTTAAACAAAGATTTACATGCAGCATGCTACGTAGTGTAGAAAGGCTATAACATATTAAAACTAAAAATACATGCATACATATGGTAAGTGCATCTCTTATACACTTTGTTGCCCTTCCGTTTCACACTTGTAAAACTAACAGGCAGCTTACAGTTCCAATGCTAACTTTCACATCAAATATAGTTCTCCAACGTAGCAATTAATTTCTTTTCCCTCATCTTTTCTACAATTTATTTATATTAAAACAATCATATCACTAGTACCAAAAGATATGCAAATTTGGGCAAAAGATATGTGAAGTAAATCTGATGAAAACCAACTTGGTAATCAGCTAACTGTTTGTTTTCAGATCAAAATGCAAAATAGAGGCAAAGCCATGATTAATATTTGCATTGAACATATCAAAGCACCAATAGCCTCAAACATATGGATTTAGTATAAAGAAATCGACCCACTAACTTTAAAAACTACATTCCCCGTTAAACTTTTGACCATACCTTAGTATTAATTGGCAAAACAAGATAAATAATAGCATATGTAACTTTCAGAATAAATTATAAATTCCTAGTTAACGTTTACTGTTGAAAGTTTGTAATAATAAATTTTGATTCGGGATTTCTCTATTATTCTATTTTTTAGCATGTTTGTATAATATTATACATTCTGGTCTTACCTGTCCACTTGATGCAGGAAGACTTCTGCAGTTTCCCGGTCTTCCGTAACGATACAATTAGTATGTGCACTACAAATGGAGGAAAAAATATCTGCATATGGACACAAGAGACAATGTTATACAAAATTCAGCAAGAATACCGGCCAAAGTATACAAAGTTCAGTGGAATTAACATGGATGATAAAAGCACACACACACAACAATTTATTGTGGTAGAAAAAGATTCTACAACAGAGGTATAAAATAATGAAACCACCAATGTCGCTAATCCAAAAATATCCTTAAAAGGATATCTAATATTTAATGTACTCCAAACGAAAAGAACTTATTTTAAGCATAAGAAGCCATACTAACTACTCCAAATTCATGGCCTTAATCCTTTTCTTTGAGATATTCTTCATTTAAAAGTTATGTTTTTCTCATTCAGAAGAGAAATTTCCCAAGTCAAAACTTTAAAAGACAATTTTAAATAGCACTATTCTAATTACAGACTATCAGATATAATAGGCAATTGTTTAATTAAAATTCACTTATCAAGTTTAATGATTAAGAAGCTGGGATCTTAAATTTCTCATTTTCAATATATAAGTTAAAGAATATTTACTTCTCAACATCTAGAAACCTGTCACTCAGTTGCCTAAGTTGGTGTCTCATTACATTAGAAAAACCAATTTGAACTCCAATCATTGACACCACCGAGGTGTCACAATGTAAACACCTTGAGTCTGTTAGGATCTAGCATCACTAGTCAAAGATCAAAATCTAAATCCATGAAGCACCAAAATCTCAGACAGTCCACAGCTTTGTTCATGGTAAATATTCAGCATCTGATATGAACTTCTTAAATGCATTCATAATTCTTAGGTTAAGTTGTTTGTTCTCACCTCCAACACATTGTAGGCCACGTAGGGTTTGATTGTTCCTTGCCTGTGAATCATGTGATATATTAAGTGATATCTGGGAAGCAAAAACTAAAATTAGAAGAAACAAAAAAAACAGCTTACGCGATCATTATCACTTATTTGAGAGAAATCTAGAAAATTAAATAAACAAATTATATATGCAACGAAGATTGAAATCCTTGTGCACAAGAAGAGTTTCCTGAAGTAAAAGTGAAGCATTAAAGGACTATGCAATGTGCTGAACACGATATGAAAATATTCAAACATAATAGAGCCTCAAAGAATAAGTTTCAGAAATAAATAGACAAATGAACAATAAATTACCATTGCATTGCAAGCAGGTGGATAATCTATTTTTGCATCCAAAACAATCCACTTCGCCATATCCATATTAGCAGACTTATCAACATATACATGGCATATTCCATCTGAAACATTCAATATACTTTCACCGCATGAGAAACTAGGCTCAAATCCGGCCAAGCCCATGAACACCTCTACATTAGGAGTTTAGGACAATCATATATAAGACTAAAGTAACCCATCTAACTTGCATGACCAAAAAAAATGCTAATTGAAAAAAATACAAAGAAAAATTCACCATACAATACGTCAAACACCAAAATAAAAGTAGCATAACAATATGTAAATATAAAAGTAACCTTAGATACATCACACAAACCTAGTCCGTTTAAAACATGAGGGACTTAGATTAATGTATTGAATCTATGTTCTTGCTGAGTTCTTCCAGCTTCTTCATCCTCAACTTTTCACTTTCACTTACCAGTTGTTCAATCAGTTAAAACATATAACAACAAGGTGATATCATTCGTCAGTCATCGGGAACAACAAATTTTTACTTTAATTTTTTGCATCTTTTGAGTTCGTTTTTGACATTACAATATAGAAACTAACCTCCATTAATTTGGTGATGAGTTGTACTTTGTCCTTGTTCTTTTCGTTAAACGCCTCCAGGGCTTCCTTGTATTCCCTTTCCTATAACATATTTCAATACCATGTCTCTTAAATACTTAATACTCTCTGTTTACAAACTGAGGACACAGCTGTTCCAACTCATATACGAACAACTAGGATGCTTTAGGAAGAATAACATTACTCTCGATGTATTCTGAAAAAAGTTGAATGGTCTCAAAGTGTGGTGAATTTGTACCTTTTTTCTGACAAGTATTCCCTAATGGTTTCAATTTTTTGTTGACTGCATCGATTTTCTTCCTCACCACGACAACTTCCTTTCTCATGGGATCTGCCAGTGCTTTAAGCTCCTGAAAGATTTACATGATTTTATAAGGCACTCTTTAATAGCTTTGATGGAGGAAAACACATAAAATGCTAAACTTGAGACACCCTTTTCCATAATTTTCAAACCATCCCAAGATCATGAATTTCCATCATTATGTGGGCCTCAAAACTCTGAATTTAGCAGAAATTGAGTCTTAAAGTTTTAAGCTTTCCAAGTCAAAACAATGGGAGAAAGGTAAATTTTTGTTCAAAGTTACCTCACGAATCATGGCTAAAGGTTTAGTTTCCTCTTCAACGCGGCCTAACTGAAGCTGAACTTTGTCTCGAACCTCCATCTAACCTGCATTTTATATTCAACTCACTCACGCTTCTCTACCAGTAAAAGAATACAAAAATATTGTCAAATTCAAATAAAAACCAAAACCTCGAGAAATTAAAAACAAAACAAAAAAAGAAGAGAAATTGAGCAGTGAAATGAAGAGAGAGAGAGAGAGAAATATTGGAAAGGAAGGGAATTGGAAAGGAATTGAAGAGTGTAAAAGGGTATAAATGGTAGATCAAAGAAAGTTAGAGAGAATTATAAAGCAAACAGAAGAAGAAAGCTGGAACTTTTAGGTGTTTCTTCTTCTTCTAGGGTTCGGACGGAGGAGAAGGACGAAGCCAATAAAAATTTTCCCTTTTGTACTCCTCTTCAGGTTTTCAGGGGTCCGTAGCTTGGCTTCTTTCGCTGGATCTCGGGGTTTCATCATCTTGGATTTGTATTCCAGGTTCATCTCTAGCAAAAAATGAAAAAGGGGTTAAAAACTTAGAAATTGTAATATAGTGGCGTTTGTATTTAAAAAACACTACAAAAGTACGAGTCTTTAGCGGCGTTTGTATAAAAATACCATTAAATCACGATTCTTCAATGATGTTTGTATAAAAAGCTACTAAAGTATGATTCTTTATCGACGTTTGTATAAAAACGCCACTAAAATACAACTCTTTGACGGCGTTTATATAAAAAAGCCACTAAAGTAAGAGTATTTAGCGGTATTTGTGCTTAAAACGCCACACAAACACCGCTAAAGTACAATATTTAGAGTTGTTTACACAAAAACGCCACAAAAGTACAATATTTAGCGGGTTTTATATAAAAACACCACTAAAGTACAAGTATTTACCGCGTTTATTCAAAAAACGCCTCTAAAAATACCGCTAAAAACTCATTTTGTTGTAGTGTGTCTAATTTGTTTTATTCATAAATATTAAATTTTAAACTTTAATTTTATCTAAAGAATTTAGTATTTAATCCCACTAAATCAACTAGTTGTTAGTTTTAAATATTATATACCATAAAAAATATAAATTCAATTATATCCCTAAACTTACACAAATTTAAAAATATTATTATTAATAAGGTAAAAAGGCATTAGAGGTCCCTGTACTTTTGAAAAAATCAATGTGACCCTCCAAATCAGAAAACAAACTCAATGTGGCCCTTTGACCAACGTTTTCCTTCGTTGACCATTACGGTGTTAGCATGGTAGTTCACGGTGCTGACGTGACAATCCATCTGCCATGTTTGAGTCACCAATTTAGCTCATTAGTTATGCCATCGGCCACATGATCAACCATTGTGGACTGTCATGTTAGTACAGTGGACTGTCACATCAGTACAATGGACTGTTATGTTAGCACCGTAACAATTAACGACGAAAAACGTTGGTCAAATGATCACATTAAATTTATTTTCTGAATTTGAGAGAAAAAATAATACTATGGCCACATTGGGTTTTTTTTTAAGTAAAAGACCTCTAATACATTTTTACCTGTTAATAAAAATACAATAAATATAGATAGAAGGAATATTACGTTGCTTAGATAATTAGCCTTTCTGAGTCAAAGGGTAAATCATTTTAATTGTGAGAACAAATCAAAATGAGATTTCATCGTCTAAATTACGAAACAAAATATCACCAAAAAAATATGAAATTATGAACAAGAATCTTGTCTTGAATATTACCAAAATCTTTGAACTTGGAAAAACATAACATGACTTTATAACATTAACAAGTGTGGTCCAAAGATGGACCATAGCATCATTATCTTAGCTAACAAAAGAACCAAAGACAAAACCAAGGTAATCCGAATCTCAAATTCGTCTTCAATGGTCAACAAATTTAGATTTATTGAAGATAATATTTGGATTTTTGAGAATCTATTTAGATACTAACATCATTGTCCCATGCAATGATGTATACGGAACAAGTTACAGCTAGCAAAAGGACAGACAAATGACAATCTCCATTGATGTAACTTTGCTATCCAAATTTTATACTTTAAAGTCAATTTGTTGTGTTTTTCTTTCATAATAATGGTATTCAATTCATTAACTGATTAATGTATATTAGGTATTATATAAGTTCATTATGGGACGACTCTCTGTATTTAATTTGTTTAATTTATAATATCAAATTTGACAAAATACATAAGATTTCTCTGTATTTTTTTATAAAAAAAAAAACCCAATGTGGTCCTCTCACTCGAATAAAAAAGTCTAATATGTGTTGATCATTATTGTGTTGACGTGACAGTTTACGGTGCTGACGTGGCGATCAACGGTGTTGATGTGGCAGTCCACGATGATTGTTAACGTGGCAGATAACATGACTGATGGGGTAAATTGGTAACTCAAACATGGCAAATGGACGGTCATCTCAGCACCGTGAATTACCATGTCAACACCGTAACGGTCAAACGACGAAAAACGTTGGTCAAAGGGCTACATTGAGTTTATTTTCTGAGTTGGAGGGCTATATTCAGAGAAATATAATGTGATGGTCACATTGATTTTTCTTCTTTAAAAAATACAAGGATCTCTGATGAACTTTTGTCACCAAATTTTAAACCCATGACTTTAATCTTATTTTAAAAATTGAACCTTTAGTCTTATTTTAAAGATCTAACGTTTTATCTCATCAAACAAACTAGTAGTTGATAAAATCGACTAAGAATTTAGATGTAGGGTAAATTATGTGTTTAGTATTTAAACTATCAGTTTTGGTCTGTTTTAATATCTAAACTTCCAATTTTTTTCTCAAATTTATGTCTAACGTTTAGTTTTTGTTTCATTTTAGTACCTCTGATAAAAACTTAACATTAAGTTTTGATTTTTTTTAAAGTTTAGGCACAAAAAATGGACCAAAACTGATAATTTGTGTACTAAACATGTTAAGTTCTTAAATGACATGTACTAAAATGAAAAAAAAAATTTAAGTATGATTTTAAAAAGTTAAAAGTTTAAGCATTAAAACAGACCAAAACTGATAGTTTAAATACTAAACTTGTAGGTTACCTCATAGGTAATATGCAACAGATTTTTAGGTTGTCCCCATTTATGTATGCTTGACCTTAACTTCCAATAACCTGTTATTAATAGATAATTCAATTATATATATAATATGAAAAATCTACAAGAAATATGTATAAAGCGGCTCCCAATTAATTTCTAAAATTATATTTTTTGCTTATTTAAATATATAAGAGGCAGACTTTTATGTTAAAAAATGGTAGAACATATTGAATTTGTCATTGGTAGAATCCAAAGAGAAGGCCGGAGGAAGCGCGCTGGCAATTTGGGACAGTTTTCAAAGACCAAACACAACGTGTGGGGACTTTGTGTTGAGATTACAATGCATATTGTCCGTTAAAAGTGGGGCAAAATATCTGGAAAATTTATATACATTCCGTACCTGCGACTCGACTAAGATATAATTATCTGAAACGAAAATATTATCAAAATATGACATGACATGACATCAGAAAATATTATCATTAGTCATAGTAACAATTATCAAATGTAATTCCTAATCTTTTTTAAGCTTAAGTACCATTGCAACTATTGGCCTCTTTCATTATATTTTAGTTATAAAAAAAACTAAAAACAACTGTTAGAGTTTATGATTCGAATTTTATTTTGGTCTGATCTGAAAAAATTATTGTGCGATTTATTTGGTGAAAGATAAATTAAGATGAACTCAAGGTGGGCACATTTCAATTCTAGAATTTGGATTTCTTTATGTTAGTTGTTAATTTTACTGAAGGTGCTCTCACCCTAAAATTTTATTTGTGCCCACCTATATGAATTTTTTTTGTTATTAATACATATGTAACTCGGTGATAAAGTTTGGGGAGGTCAACTTAAAACTTTAAAAAAAAATAGAAGTTTAAATTAAAATTTTTAAAATTTTTGAAGGGTTTAATTTACATTTTTTCAAAAATATTAGGGTCTAACTAAAATTTTTGAAATTTTGAGAGGCTTAATAAGAAAAATTTTAAATTATGGGAGAGGATTTAATTAAGAATATTAACAAATTTTAAAGTTTAATTTGAATTTTTAAAACTTTTGGGAGACCAAATTAAATTTTTTGAAAAGTTAAGGGTCTAAACTATAAATTTTTAAATTTGGGGGGTCATTACCAGTGGCGAATCTAGAAATTGAAAAATAGGGGTCCAAAATTTTAATACTCTATTTTAAAATTTTTGAGTGTGCAATTTTCTTATTTTTTTATTTTCATTAATAAACTAAATTAAATTTAACACATTTATCAAAATAATGGGTGTGCAATAACTCTCATCGTAGAACCATGTACATCCGCCTCGGCCATTACCCCTAGTAGCCCTATTTATGTTCCGTCACTGTATATACCGACTCTAAAAAATATTTTTAGATTCGTCGCGACTTTCGTAAACTCTCTCGCTTTATTGTTTAATTCAAACTCTAATCGATTTCATGCATGACGATGACTTGGGTCAAGCCTAAATAACAATACATGATAAATCATCACATACAAAATCAATGGATGCATATATAAACTATTAAAAACATGACTTAAAATGATAAGTAATAATATTAAAGTCTTCTCTGTCATCCTATATATGAAGAATCTTCCACCAGTTCAGACATATCAGATATAGTCACAAAAGAAGATGGTTCCTACTGGTTTCAGATTTTGTCCCACGGATGAAGAGCTCATCGAGATCCTGCACCACAAAGCGTCGGGGAACACTGCCACGGGATCGTTCGATTTCATCATCGAAAGAAATCTATACGATCTAGACCCGAAAGATCTCAACTGTAGGACGTTCCCCCCCCCCCCTCATTCTTCATTTTCTCTGGTTTTTCTATGTTGTTTTCTTCATCAGTTGCATGTATGTTACATGGAACCCTAAACCCTAAACTAGAAGCCGATAAATCGAAAATATATACACAGCTCTATAACCGAGTTAAAATTCAGCTAATATACTCTCCACCAATCAGCCAACACTTTCCAAAGATTCAACATAAAAGGACATTTAACGAAAAGGTGATTGCATTTTGTTCAAATTCTGCTAATGTCAAGATAGGAAGTTTTCAAAGGATGGTGGTGACAGTTTGGGTTGCTTAGTTAGTGTATTAGTAGTTCTGGGCTTGCTCTCTTGGTTATGATTGCATTTTGTTCAAATTCTGCTAATGTCAGTTGTTGTGTCGATTCTTGGTCATATGGTTGTTTGGTTGAACCTGGTGGTTGGTTTTTTTTTTCTTTTTGTTCTTGGTGCTGTACTCTTATCCCCTACTTGGGTTAGAGGGGTTTTTTTAATGAGTCATGCATCCCAGAGTCTATCGATTTCAATAAAATTCTTTGCCGATCAAATATATATACACGTGTGTATGTGAAATTTTATATGTTATTTATGCAGGGAATGAGAGTAGCGTTCGATTGAACAAGAACGAGAGGTATTATTATTGCAGAAGGGAGAGTGATTCGAGGGAAGTGATGGGTCGTGGCTGGTGGAAAGCAACGAGTCATGTAAAGGTCATTTTATCGACTAATGGGGACCTGATGGGTTATAAAAGGCCTTTAACTTTCCATAGGTTTAAGGATGATAATCAAAGAAACAGAAAAGCCGCCATTAAAACGGATTGGATCATGCACGAGTACGGCCTTCAATCAGTTCCATCGGTATATTTCTTCTCCCTTCTATATCGGATTTAATAGCGAGTAAAACTCGATTTGATTTAACTTGAATTTCATATAGGATTGGAGACTGTGTAAGATTAAGTACAAAGGAAAAGACAACCTCAAAGAAGTCATGACATCAATGGAGAACACATGCAGAAACAACACAACTCCTCCATTATCAAGTTTCGAAGCCGAAGATGGCGGCGGGGGCAGCAGCAGCAGCTCAATTTCTACGAACATAACTCCCATGCAGCCGGAGTTTGGTTTCCAACAGCTGCCGCCATTAATGCAGCTGCCATTACCTGAAAACGATAACCTTTTTTACGACAATTATTGTTGGCTGAACTCGAACATTGTGCTTAATGATGATGATGATTATGTTCTTGCTGATCAACTCTACACTCTATCAGAGCAACCATTTTCGGACCTTTGGTCATGGGATAGTTGAGTTGCCCCCTTTTATGTACTTATAATAAGCATCGATGCTAGGGTTTCCTGCTGTAAAATCGTATAATTCAGCAGCAATTTAATAATTTGTATGGTAGTTTTATCTCGAGCTCTAATTGATTTGAGATGATGATAATCAGGGCTCATCTTGGTTTTGCCCATGCATATGACTTTTATTTTATAGGGTAAACTACACGTTCAATACATCAACTATCACTTTTGTTCCGTTTTGGTACTCAACTCTTTTCTTTCAAAACTAAATCTAATGTTTAGTTTTGGTTTCATTTTGATCACTCGTCGTTAAAAAATTAACAGAACTACTTGACTTGACAATTTTTATTTTTATTTTTCAATGATGATAATTAGGTGATTAAAACATAACAAAAGTAAAAGTTAGGGTACTAAGAGTGTAGTTTATACTCTATTTTATATAATTGAGCTCCTTCAAAGATTTTATAATTAATATGTAGATATGATGAATCTGTTTTCTCTTTAGTTGTTCCAAGTCAAAGGGATACATACATCATTTAAATTTTAGGTTTAATTAAATCATATATCCCTAAACTCTACCATTCATAGCATTAAACTTTTAAAAGCTTTAATTATAACACTCAACTCTGATTTTAAGTTCATTGTAAGTAATGAGTTGTTAAACCATTAACAATCGGATTATATGTAGATTGATCCCGAAGTGTGCTGATGTGGAACTTTAGTTTGTATATCAATTTTGTCATTAAATATTAAAATGTTTAAATTTTAAGCATTAAACTTTAATTTGTGTATCAATTTAGCTACTACTGGTAAATTGGTGGTCATCATCTATCGTTATTCGAGACAATATCAGTACTAAAACGTTTTCATTTCACTTATCTCTTATCATCGGATTGATTTTTCACGAAACTTACTCAAAATCAATAAAAAATAATCAAAAGATTTGATGCTCTAGTTTGGGGGTTTCTCATATTTGAAGGGTTTGTTATAAAATCTGAAAGGATAAAAGTGTTCTTTCAAGAATATGAATTATATATCTCGAAACCAGTCTCATCAGGCAGTCATCGAAAGATATTAAGCATTAAAACGTCGAATCATTTGATGAATTTTCATCAATTTGGAGTAGGTTTCATGGAAAATTAATTCAAAGATAAAAATATGGGTGAAATGTAAAATATTTTGATATTGATCTTGTCGCGAAAGACGACTACTGACAGATGATAATAGATCGATAGTGGGGAAAGTGATACACAAACTAAAGTTATACAGAATAAAAATCATGTCATCACATCATTAATGATTTATCGGTCCAATGTACATTAAACCCAAAATCAAGTTTCAATATATATAATTGAAGATTTTGAAAGTTTAATAGTATGAATAATACATCACTTAAATTTCATTGATATCTAACATAGTTAACCATAAATTTTAAATAAAAATTGTACAAAGCTATACGAGCATCCCTAACGATGAGCACCACATAATATCATTAATTTAAGTTATAAAAATTTAAAATTCTAAACAATTCAACGTATAATTATAAAATTAAAAATCTAAAGGTAAATTATTCAAACAAGGAAAAATATTTAGGGTTTTTTAATTTTTGGGTTGATACTTGATCCAATTATTGTTAAAAAAGATTATGAAAAATAATTTAATTAATATTTTATTTTAAATATTTTAATTTTTTTTAACTAATTTATAATTATACGTTGAGCCGTTTAAAATTTTAAATTTTTATAAATTTAAATTAATGATGTTCAACGGTATTCATCTTAGTGGTACTCAACTGTATTCATCCAATTTTAAACTGTGAGTAGAAAAGTCACAAGGTTCATAGTTAAAATTGTGAAACAAAATCACAAAAAAATCTGAAATTGTCAGAAAGAATCTACCGTTTAATATTACCAAAATCTTTGAACTTAGAAAAAGAAAAATAGAACTTGACCTTATAACATTAGCAACATAAATGTGATGCAAACATGACCATAACATCACTATTGAAGATACTATTTGATTTTTGAAAATCTAGTTTAGATCTTAGTAATTTATATAAAATATATTCGTACACTTTTATAATTAAATTTATATAAAAATATTGGGTAAAATACACAAATGGTCCTCGACTACAGGATATTACTTTATTAAGTTCCTTGACTATTATAAGTTACAAAATGGCCACCCGATTATTCATTATGTTCCGAACTCGTCATTTTCATTAAAAATTTGCGGTTGTCTAAGCTAGACGTTAATATGATGACTGTGATATGATAGTCGGTTGAGATTTTGGGATAATATTTTATAATGTCACAATCAGCAGGTTAAAGTTCAGCACAGAATACCGTTAATTTTTTAACATAAAATGATGACTTTGGAACATAATGAATAGTTGGGTGACCATTTTGTAACTTTTAATAGTCGAGAGACTTAACAAAGCAACATTAATTGGACGAGTCTGTCACGTTCGACGAGCATTATTAAACACCACTATTGATGAGCATCACTAAGCACCATTAATTTGATTTATAAAAATTTAAAATTCTAAAGAATTCAACGTAAAATTATAAATTAGTTAAAATTTTAAAGATAAATTATTTAAAATAAAATAGTAATTACATTATTTTCTATAATCTTTTTTTAACAATAATTAGATCAAATACCAACCCCTAAATTAAAAAACTATAAATATTTTTCTTGATTAAATAATTTACCTTTAGATTTTTAATTAATTTATAATTATACGTTGACTCCTTTAAAATTTTAAATTTTTATAAATTAAATCAATGGTGTTGAGCGGTGCTTATCATTAGTAGTGCTCATCGAGCGTCGTAGAATTTTTCAAAATAAATTTCTTTTTCTAATTAATTATATTAGAATTAGATTTTAATATCTAAAACATGAAAAGAGGGGAAAATGGTGGCGTGCTGGTAAATAGGTGTGAAAAAAGACAGTTTCCAAAGACCAAACAAGTGTGGGGACTTGGCGTTGAGATGTTGTCTGTTAAATAGGGGGGAAATATCCAAATGAGATCATTTATATAAACTCCTACGTGTTTGTCACTCGCTTAAATATAATTATTTTAAATGAAAAAAATAATTAAAATAGAGAAAATCGCCTCAGTGACCAAAAAAAAGTTATAATATACGATTTTAACCAACTTTTTTTGGATTTGCCAAAATGACCAACAAAATCGCAACGCGAAATAAAAATCGCAACGCGATCCCCAGAATCGCAAATCAGTTTCCAAAATCGCAACGCGATTCTTGAAAATCGCGATGCGATAGTACAAATTCGCATTGCGATTTTCAATAATCGCAACGCGAATATGAAAATCGCAACGCGAACACATAAATCGCAACGCGTATCCGTAAATCGCAACGTGTATCCGTAAATCGCAACGCGTATGGGTAAATCGCAATGCGTATCCGTATATCGCAACGCGTATCCGTAAATCGCAACGATAATACATAAAATCGCAACGCGTATCCGTAAATCGCAACGCGATATTTAAAGCGCCATTATAATCGCTACGCGTATTTTATTTTCAAATTACAAAAAGAATATTAAGACAAAATCCCGTAATCGCAACTCATAACCTAAAACCTAAAATCACAACTCAGTCCCATCTCCATCTCTCACTCTCTACGGCGAAGAAATCCGTCCCCATCTCCGAAGATTTCCGTCCCCATCTCCGGCGAAATCCCTCACAACCATTCACGGTCAGAAATCCCTCACAATATTCAGAAATGGAAAATCAACCTCCGAGGGTTAGTTTTTTTAATTATTTTTATTTTGAAATGTTTGCATTATTGTAGGTTTTTCATATTGAAACTGATGATAAGTTTACTGGTCATTTCAATAATAGATTAACCATTTCACTTAGATTTCATTTCGCGTTACGATTCTGTCGTTGCGATTTTCATTTCGCGTTGCTATTCTCTCGTTGCGATTTTCAAGTTAGTATTTGTCTTTGTCTTTGTTCTGTCTTTTGGTTGAAGTAATGCAATCCATTCAAGTTTCAATTTGCAGAAGAGTCGCAACGAGATAAATGAAAATCGCAACGAGAGAATGACTGTCGCAACGAGAGAATCGCAACGCGAAATGAAAATCGCAACGAGAGAATCGCAACGCGAAACCAAAATCGCATTGCGATTTTCATTTCGCGTTGCGATTCTCTCGTTGCGATTTTCATTTCGCGTTGCGATTCTCTCGTTGCGATTGTCATCTCGCGTTGCGATTCTCTCGTTGCGATTTTCATTTCAACCAAAAGACAAAACAGTGTTGCAAATTTTAGTTTCAAGAATAAACTACTACTTTTTATGTTTATTGTTTTTGGTATATCTTCACAGTGTAGTTTTTGGTATATCTAACTTGGTATGTTTATTGTTTTTGTAGAAATTTTTTTCGGCTCAATTGACCTTGAGAAATAAAGTCAGCCTGGCCACTACAATTGCAAAGAAGCTTTCACCTGCTCAAAGACAATTGTTTGAGGAAACCTGCTTCGGGCCATGGCTGAGAGTACAGCATCCGGGTGGAGATGCTAATTTGACCCATTTGTGGCTTCAGACCATGACATCAAATCTACCCGACAGTATACAACGTGGTGAGGAAGAGATATGGTTTCATTTTCCACCAGCGTATACTTGCTTTGGGCGGAAGGAGTTCTGCTTAATCACTGGTCTACGATTCGGACACGATGATGTAGGCCGGTACACTCGTCATATCGCCCGCCCATCATGGTTATCCCGGGTTTTTCCGGATGAGTCAATGGAGAAGCCGAACCTACATGTCGACGACCTGA